TAGATACAGAGCAGCCAAATGTTAGAATGATTCTAGTGAAGTACAAGAAATGACATTATTTGAAGACCTGGAAGCAAGTAATCACATAGGCTGCTTCTGTCTCTGAATTCTATAGCACTGTGAGTAATACGAGTGGGAACAGAGAAATTTACTGTGAAGCCACTAATGATAAGGTATTAAGCCAGAAAATGGAAGGACAAAATCATATGAGGTGTTGAAAGCAAATTGGATTTATGCAGAAAAGTATTCCTCTTACATGTAGTCAATGCAATGTGTACTAAAGAACACAAAGAAGTTCAAACAGAGTAGCAAGAATTCTGGGGCATCCTGGGCCAGAACGATACAACCCATGAGTTAGCGAGGAACAAAGGCAAAAAACCACATTATTTAAATTAACTGACAAGAATACAAAACAAACGTTTTCAAGTATAGTCTTTTTCTGCACAATTTGCCATATAATAGCTAAGACAAATTCCTCTAGAATTTCCTCTCCTCCTTCTGAGGAACCCTGGGAAGCATAACACCACTGCCTGGCCCTCTGCATCTCTGGGAAAAGCAGCAGCAGTTTGAAAGCAGTGGTTCCAACACTGCTGAGTGAACAGTGTGGGTTTGAACAGTCACCATTCACTAGGATTAATTTCACATCCACATCTTCAGCTGACATTTGAAATTCGATTAGACATGTCAAGGTCTGTCAATTTGAGAGCTGCTCATATTTTCACTGAAAGATGCATGCTCAGTCCTGAAAAGGGTTTCTACTCAAGTACTGTATTGGAAATATGTTGTCAAAAATAATTGTGGCAACTGAACATCAGCTAATAAAATAGGCATTTTTAAAGCAAATGTCTTGACAGATGCAAACCGTACTCTCTCTGAAAAAAGTATTGTGTCTCTCCACCCAAGTAACAAGTGATGGAAAAGAGAAAATGGCCTCAAGTTGTGCCAGGGAAGGTTTTGATTGGATATTAGGGAAAATTTCTTCACCAAAAGGCCTGTCAAGCACTGGAACAGGCTGCCCAGGGCAGTGGTGGGGTCACCACTATCTTTGGAGGTATTTAAAAGACATATAGGTGTGGTACTGAGGAACATGGCTTAGTGGGGGACTTGGCAGTTGATCTGAAAGACTTTTTCAATCTAAATGATTCTGTGATTCTATGATTTAAAGATTGACCAGTTAATTAGAATTTAATAGTTATATTTTTGACCTTATTTAGTCACAGAGCATGTGTTGGACATCCTTCTTGATAAAAGAGTAAAGAAAAAAATAAAGAAAACCAAAGATAAAAGAGTAAAGAAAAAATAGAGAAAACCAAAGTAGTTTGACACCCTGTTGGAACATCAGCTGAGCACACAGGAAGCTCTAACAAAGCCATGTTCTACCAAAGCCAAACCAGGCCACTGTGCTCTGTCTTTGTGCCTGTGTTCAGCCACATAAAATCTGTCTTAATATGTGCCACTGGCAGTGTCTCTTCAGCCCATTCATTGTCCCTGGGACAGCTTTTCATCCTCTTGCTGAAAGCTCCCCTTTTGCCTTACATCAGGCAGGTTTCACACAGTAATAATGAATTTTATAGTACATCCACTCTGTCCTCATTACATCAGCACATCCTCCTTATCCCCACAGCATGTTTGGTAGCAAGAGTATCTCCCCTGTCTAAACAAGAGAAAGTAGGGACCGGGCTACCAATTGTCCTCACAGGTCAGGCCCTGTAGAAGGAAAATTAAGGTTAAGGGAATTTAAGGTGCATCAGAAGACCTGTGCAAGCAGATGGTGTTTGTTTAAATAATAGCATATACTTGGGATTGCAGGACTTGCCTTGTTGTGCACATATTGGTGAAGCTAGACTTCTGCTTTTTTCAGCAGGCTTGAGGAGCGTTGCAATAACAGTGGTGACAACCTCTATTTGTTTTACCTGCTGCTCTGGAACAAGGACAATCATGTGCGTGTTTGACACGTTGGTAATGAATTTCTTTTGCACCGGGCAAACACTGCAGAATGTCTCATCAAAACATCCTAATTAAGGAGTGGATTTGAGTAGACATACAATCTCTAAAATATCAGAAGTTCCACTCAATTTAATGTACATCCAGCAGCTCCCAAGAGAGTGTTTCAAAATCACTAAGCTTCTGTTTAGCAAAGTGGGGATGAGCGTAGGGGCTCTGAAGGACTGTAAATGAAAGATTACTTAACTCTGAGGGAATTGTCTGGCTCCTGAATGTTTTAAAGCAAACTTCTTTCTCAGTAGCTTTTAAAAATATGTGAAAAGCAGATGTCCATATTGGGCAGAGCCTTCCATGGGTCCATTCAAATAGTCAAACACTTCTTCAAGGTCTGTCAGGAAGTGCTCTGTGAATCTGATCCATGTGATGCAGGAATTCAAACCACAAAAAAGGGTTGGTTAAAGTAAAGATTTCAGTGTTTTCGTTTGAAAATTCATGTATCTTTACTCTCAAGATTACCTGAAAAATTAAGGTTGAAGTAATAACTTTTAAAGAACATTGAGTTATTTTAAAGTTCATGTGCAGTAAAAGCAGTCAATTTACCTTAACTGTAAACTTTACCTTAACTGTGGCAGATTAGATTATTTAAAAATGAAATTAAATTTCTTTTTAAAATACAATCCTTGAAATCATTAGAGAGACAAGCTGGAGTTAACAGAAAGCTCCTTACTACATTCAGTCCTGCCTTAGGAAGCAAATGTTCATGGCCCTTTTCCTACAGCTTTGTGGACCTACCAGGATTTTGGAGAGATTCAGTGTTGGCAGACCTGTATATCTGCATAAAATGTCCCTGAAGTCTGTGGGACATTGGTGATGGGCATGTCAAAATGAATCAGATTATAAAACTGTGGTTTAAAATGGGAAGATGCTACGGGCTGGTCCTTGACTGCCTGATCTCTGCTGCATGCTAAACAGCTGCTCTGAAGCCAGCAGTCTTGGCTCTATGGTATTGTTAGATTTTACTGTTTTTTTCCTTTTGCCTCATAGAAATTCTTATATACCAGCAAGCCTCTACTCTGGAGGGATTATATATTTTTTTTTTTTCCCCTATGATTCCAGTATACATATCCAGGCACAGATTTGCTAGGAGAAAAGAACAGGATCTTTATTCTCCCTCCTTTCCCCGGTAGTAACAACCTTTTGACAAGGAAAAAACAAACTATTAGAGGATTGTTTCCTCCTATTAACTTGCAAGTTAATGCTGGGAACATGTCACCAGACCCACACCCTGACACACACCGGGGCCACGCCGCTCTCCCAGCTCCACATCCATCAGGTCACAGCTCTGTCCACTGCAATGCTTCTTCCTTCATTATAGAAAAGAAGCAATCACACAATAGGTGTTTTGATTGTATCTAGGCCACCACTATTTTTTACCTCCTTTAGAAACCTTTCTTCTAATGCAATATCTTTCTGTGTCCTTAAAGGCGTCCCTTCTGAAGCGTCGCTTCTTGAATTGGTTTTTCAGTACCAGGTTTGATTTACAAACCTTGTGTAAAGACAGTGCCCAATAAACCTTGCACCAAACAAAGCTGTGTGTCAGGGGCTCTTTGTCATCAAAAAACTGTTCAAGCTGCAACAGGGAGCTGTATCCTGCCCTGCCAGCCAGGTGGGAAGCACAGTGGCACAACAGCAGAGCTCCTGTTTGGCAGAGGACAAGCTGCAAGCTTTTTACACCTTCTGTTAAACCTGTAGAGAGGGCACAAGAGCCTTTCTTCCTTAAAGCACATTTAGGAAGAACAATTCAGCATCAGAAAGATTGTCTATGGAAAGGGTTTTCTAAGCAATTAAAGTGCTTTCTATACTTTACAGTGAATCCTTTCTGGGAGTTTTTTCTAGACAAGATTTGCTACAGATTGGGCTATATTAGAGAAGGTTCCAACAATAACCAGTGTGACTGATGTTTGGGCCAGAAGCTCTGCTATTGACCCCAGCCCTGAGCCTATCTCCTGAACAGTCTGTCCTTTTTAAATCTGTTTAGGAATGTTAATTTCAACCTACCTGGTACAGGCAATATGGAGTTTGATTTACAAATACGAACAGGGTTTAATGTGAGATGGTTCTCTTGCTTGTTGTAGAAGCTCTGCAAGGTTATGAGCCTGTATAAGCAGGTGATCACTTTCTTAATTTTCATGTTAATGGCAAGGGAAGATTTCTGGGTTTCCCCACTCTTCCTCCTTTCTGCTCTTCTCCCCTCACATACTTGGATTATCTTCTGATCCATGGGGTGAAGGAAAAGGGCTTAGGTTCACTTTTCTCAAATCTTTGGAGCTGATTTCCTATCCACTGTTGGAGCTCTAGCTTTGGGAGATCTGCAAAATCTTAAGACCAGCACCAAGATACTTTGAGGCCCATAATTCCTGCCACAGACAGTTTTCTTTGGTGATGCTTTTCCCAATACAGTTAACTGAATGCAATGTACAATCTTTAACAACATATATTAATAATAATTAACAACACCTCCTCAGTTCAAGGCCCTCTGTGCCTGTTCATCTGCAAGAGTTTCTGATGAGTTTATGATGACCCAGAGCTACAACAGTTCAGCGTGGCAATTTTTAAATTATTTTCAATACTTCTATCACTGTTGTGACATGCATATGTGCTTGAACTTTAGTTGTAAAATCCTTTGTTTTGACAGAAGTTGCTGTTTGTAGTAATTTTTATCAGTTGAACTTTGTTTCTTTTCCATTGCCTGATGAAAGAGACATTTGGGCTTACATTTTCTAGGTACTGAAGAAGAAATAATTTTCTCCTAAAGCTCAGTGACTGGATGTTTCATATATTTCCTCTCTGTTACCATTGGTACATTTTATCATTCTCATTTTTTATAGCACAAATAAGCTTGAAGTCAACTCTCTATTAAGTAAATAAATGAACCTTAAAACTGAGCCTCTTTTTTTCCCCAAGGCTCAGGATTCCCATGCTATGAGAAAAATCCTTCAAGCTTAGCTTTCAGCCTAGCTAAGCCATTGCTTAATGCAGTTTTCTTTTAATTCCAGTCCTACATGGAAGATCACCTGAAGAACAAGAACCGTCTGGAGAAGGAGTGGGAAGCTCTGTGTGCATACCAGGCTGAGCCCAATGACAGCAGCGTGGCACAGCAGGAGGAGAATGTCCAGAAGAACCGCTCCCGGGCCGTGGTGCCATGTATGTACACTTCCCTTTGCATCATGGCATTTTGGTTCTTGATACATTCCCCAATATTTTTTTGCACGGTGGTGTGAAAGCTGCAGAAGGCAGGTAAACAATGTGGAGTGGTTTCTATGTGTACTGGAAAGCTGTGCTATAACTATGGCTTGGTTGCATGTCCTGTTGTCTTACTAGACCCTGTTTGTCTCCTTGTAGACTGCATATATGTTACAAAAATGCACAACTGTGCCACATAACGCTGCTGCTGGAGCTGTGCTGTCTCACCACATTCCATAGCCAGAGTGATTGTCAGTGCTGGAATATACTGTCTGTACAAGAGTGGCATCTGTAGGTATTCAGTAGAAGTCTCTTCTTCTGACGAAGACAAGTTGGTCTCTTGTCCATCCAGCAGTAATACAAGCAGTCTAGAGGCAGAGCCAGATAATCTGTTTATCAGATACTCAGCTGTACTGAAGGAGCCCCTTTAGGCTTCAGTGGGTAAGTTTGAAACTGGCTTCTCTTGGCAAGGCTTCTCTAAACACACAAAAATAAAAATAATGAAAAAAAAAAAAGGAACCGATCTTTATATTCCTAGAATCTGTTCTTTCCTGTAAGCAGCCAACTTTTGAGCTTGAAATAAAAGTAAAATATTTTTGCTATGCAAATATATATATATATATATATATATATATATATATATATCATAGATTACATTGGTAATGTATGAACACATATTTCATTAAGCAACCAATGAAACAAAAATGAAACTGAGAATATATTCACAGTCCACAGCAACCAAAACGCTCTCAATCAGCATGCCCACAATCCAGCTGGATAGCTTGGCAAACATATATAGCTGTTTTAATTTTTAAAGTACCCTGAAAACATTAATTTTCCCTAAGAGAATCTTGAGTAAGTAGTATTCCTCCTTTAGAAATGGGGAAATGACAGGTAACACGTTAAGTAAATGTCATAGCCAGATTTAGAGTGAAGATTTTTTGGAAGGACATGGTAATTTAAGTGAGCCTATCAGTCCCTGTATATTTGCTTCAGCAGGGTTTGTCTCTTTTGTTTAGGTAGTGACTCTTTCTGCAATACTTTTCTACTCAGGAGAGGATTACAGCAACTTAGCAGTATTAATTCTCCTGAGTAAATATGGTGCTGGTCAAAAGACTTTTGGGGCAATAGCAGAAGTTTGCTGACTTCCATGTGTTTTGGGGTCAGGCTTGTTGAGAAGTTCTAAAGAAGTCACCATGAAAGTTAAAGTAGTGCAAGCCTTCTGTGCCCTTTTACATCCTGAAAAAAAGCAGCACTTAACTGACATGATAGACAGTGAAAATTTTCCATGAAAATATGTATTGATCCAAGTTAATCTTCCTGCTTGAAGTGTTCCATCAATATGGACTTACAGTCAGACCATCTTAAGATATTTCAAGTTCCTGCTCATAAATTAAGCTGGACTGGTTTTGGTTGCTGCCACAGAGACAGCTTGGGAGCTACAGATGTTGCCAGAAATTGGTGCTGGTTATTTGACTGATGTAGAAACTGTGTCTTCATGATTCAATAAGATATAAGATAGAAAACTTCAGACTAGACTTTTCTACCTCTGAATCCAGAAGTATCATGGCTGTGACAGTGCTAAAGAGCAGAGGCTTTTAACTTGGATGTCACAGAATCATTTGGGTTAGGAAAGACATCTGAGATCATCGCGTTCAGTCGTTAACCCAGCACTGCCAGGTCACCACCAAACCACGTCTCTGAATAGCACATGTACATGTCTTTTAAATACACTCAGGGACAGTGACAGTGACAGGTAATCTGTCTCTTTTCATCATATTTCATATTGTACCTCGTGAATGTATCAGCCAGCACTGACTAGCCATTGGTCAGTGTCTCTCTGCCATTGCTTCTTCCAAGGCATGTTCTTGTACCATTAAATGTGATTTGGTGAAGGTATTTGGACATGGGTAGGGTGACTGTAATTTATCTGAAGTTTTAACTATAGGTGTTTTAGTACATTTTAAAGGGTAAAATTATACATTTACTTTGTTTCTTCCATGTGGAAACTTCTATTACAAATATTAGTGCGCTGGGAATTTTCCTTTTTGACTGAATTGCACAAAATTACCTGCCTTCAATTTCTGAGATTGCTGTGCACTGGTAAACAGCTGTCATGTTATATATGTTTAAACTACTTACTACTTTGCTGATGGATGGAAAGTCTGGCATACAGTTTAAACAATATTAAATTTTGATAAGGTGATGGTTATTTTAGACTCTAAGATTAGACTGAGATAAGAGGACCCAGTTTGCCCACTTTTTTTTAACTGTGTTAGGCATTTAAACTATTTTTTAAAAAGTCATAGATTTGCTTCATAATGTATGGAGAAGCAAACCTGATATGCTTTTGATATTCTACAGAGCTGTTATTTTACATTCAGTGTATTCTCACAGAGTAATGCCTTGTTATTGTTTCCTTACCCCTTTCATATTCATAATCACCTTGACAAGGTAGAAAAAGATTGCCAATTCACATAGAAGATTTCCTCTTAGAAAGGCTTCAAAGAAGCTTTAATATGTTGCATTTGCTTTGTGTTTTTCTTTCTAAACCAGTCTTGAAGTAATACAATATTATTTTTACTGATTATATCTCATCTAATTAGTATCACAATTTTTTCATAGCTTACTCTTGTATCTAACTTTTCTATTTTCTATACAAACAGTTTTTAAAATACTTGATAGCAGAACACCTTGACACTGCACTTAACTAATTACTAGTTTAAAAAATACTGACAAATCAAGTTATCTGGACCTTCTAGATTAACAAAACTGTATCCTTTTATCAAATCAAGAAGCAGATTGCTATAATTTAGGGCACACGGTGTTTATATTTAGTGCTATAATTTAGTGATGCCTATTTTGTTTATGAATACATGAGCAGCTCAAAAAAAGCTTTCCAATTTTTTTCTCTTTTTGCATCTCTGAAAAATTAAGCCATCTCAACAGAATCAAGACTGCATGTTTTTATTTATGTACACCATTAATGTATAGAGATATTTTAAACATTCGGCAAACAACTTTTTGCAGTGAACATCTATCAAAAACTATCCACCACAGCCATGTCCATGGGTCGTGGTGTATATTTAAGCAACCTGCTTATCTCTGGGCTTTGCCTTTCCTCTAAAGGAGAGCAGAGCATTTAGGGGCAGAACAGGCACCCAGATCTGAGCCTTGTTTGCCTTGAGGGCACAGCCTCAAGGGGTTGTGCACCAGAGATGGGAACACCTGAGCAGAGGGTTATGTGCATTATCCATGCTATGAATACATGTGCAAATAGTGCTCTGAAATGAAGGAACTCCAGCAGTTCTGAGCAAAGAAAAGCTCCATTTTCTGCAGATCATCTATAGCCAAAATAATAATAATCAGCAAATTATGATTCTTCATAGTCTTCAGGCTTCACTACTTTAATTTCTCAGTAGTTCTTCACTTTCTTAATTCAGTGGAGTCCTGTGTAGCGCTTTGTATAAAAAGAAAAAAAAAAAAAAAAAAAAACAAAAATCAGTCTAAATCTAGAAGGAAGAAAATGATTATCCAGACAGGATGTGCCAGGTTGATTGCTGTAAGATTTGCTTTATTCTGTGATGCCTGGATTCAGACAACCCAAATTTGCTCATATTCCTTGTTTTCAACCTTGTTTGTTGGTTCTGTTCCTTCAGAAGTATCTGACTAAAAGGAAACAAAAGACAGAGAGAAAATATGAGTCTTACTTTTACAAGCTTTCAATCTCCATCTAACAACAAAAATAATCTTCATTAAGTTGCAGGGCCACTGTGAGAGAAATAAAAGATTGACATTACTTACTACTGTAGTATTGGACAATAATAATTATTGCTAATTAATAATAATTATTCAGATAATAATTCAGATAGTAATGACATTTTATGCTTGACTAAGTCATTTAAGCACAGGAATCCAGTGTTGTTTGAGGTGCCCAAAGTACTCAAGGTACCCAGGCAGAGCTAGTAGGTATAACAAAAGCTCTGTGAGAGACTTGTGACCCTCCTGCCTGCTAGCCCAAGTGTCTTTAGGACTCTCAAATATCAGTAGAAACCTACACTGAGGCATTGAAACCAAGTTTCTGAGCATGAGTCTGTGAGAGCTGCCTGAATTTAAGTATCTCCATGTAGCTGCCTCCACGTGAGCCAGGTGTCAAAGCCCCTGATAGAGCAGTGAAGAACCAGTCCCTGCAGTGACATCAGGAGAGCTGTGCAGTGGCCACAGTTGGTATTTGGTTTATAGAGAAATGAATAGATTTAGGATGCCACTGTGTATCCTGTGTGAGCTCCAGATGCTGGCCTAATAGGGTAAAAGTCTTGGGATCTTGTGTCCTCTCCTCTCCTTGTGCAATGTCTCATCTACCCTACAGTTTCTCCAACAGTCCATTTCCATGTTTAGCCACCTAAATCAAGCTCCATTTACCACTTCACATGAAGATATCTATGTGTATACATCAAAACATAGCTTTTTCAGTCTAAAAATTGAGATTTATGTACTGCAAACTCATGTGTGTTTGCTTATATCATGTCCTTGATGCTCTATCCTCTATATTTTATAATTTATATTTTACATGTATATAAAATCCAACGTTGTGCTGTATTTCTCTGGAGCTACAGGTTAATATTAACCTTCTTATTTAGGAAGCCTCTCTCTCTCTGCCACATGTATCCATCTATGCGTTTTGCTTTTCTTTCAGCTGTGGCTTGGCTGGAGCAATAGCAAATGCAAAGCAGCTCAGCATTCAGCAGCAGCTATTGTAAATACTTAAAATGATGACGAGTTGTAGCTTGGCCAGATTGCAGTAGCTAGTAACAGCATTTGTCTTTTCTCTCACTTCCTTATTACCACCTCTCTCCTATTTCTTCATTCATCTTTCTTTCTCATTATTTAGATTGAACTTATGTATCTTCCTTTTCTGACATACCTTCCTTACTTGTATTTCCTGCTTTTCCTGCTTCTCACATAATCGATATGCAGTTTGCCAAAAAAAAAGAAATGCTGTACATTCAGCATTTTCCCCATAGTTGCTCATTGTTAACGTAACAATCTGGTGTCCATGGTATTCTTTTGGTTTATTTTTTTTTCTTTTCTTCTTCCCCTGCCTGTTTCAGAAGAGCTATTATGCTAGTTCCTAGAAGCTTTGAGGTGATAACAGGCATAGACAAGCACAATCTGTTCATTGTCAATATGAATGTTTGATGCTGCAACTGCAGCACACATGGGTGCAAACTCTTGATATATGCAGAAAAACATGTACAACCTTTTTTGTACACTTCCTTTTTCTAAGAGCAAATACAAAGTCCCAACACCTTTTCACTACCAAGCCTAACATGTCTTGCCCTCTGATAAACCCTCCAAGACTGCAAGATAATGACATGGCACACTAAATCAGAGGATAAAACACTAAATCTGGATAAAACACTATGTTGTAAAAGAAATAGATCCGTGAGTTACTGATCTCACACCTGACTCTTATTGGAGAGTCACCCTGACATCTGTTTGCTAAGTACTGATGAATCACTGTCTGCTCTCTCTCCTTCATCCCTCTGAAAACATTTCACACATTTCCTTTGGTGATTAGTTCAAACACTTTTGCTATTCAATGAACAAGGCTTATCCTGAGTGCTTGCTTAGCTTAAGGTATGTGAGACCACATTTACTGCGTGTAACCTGTGTACCTCCTGCAAAGCCAGAAGGCTTCAGAGCTGCAATTCTTTGAGCACTCTGTGACATTGCTCATTACAAAGCCTCCTGTAAAAAATATTGGGTGGCCCAAGATCTCAGGTGTCAAAAGTTCTTATTTATGTTTTGGATTTTTTTGTGCAGTGGTGCCGAAGTAGGGTGGAAAAGAATAATGTTCGTGAGCATGTTCTCTTTCTTGTCTCCTTTATCCTCAAACCTTAGCAGGGAAAGTAATTTTATGTGAATAGTAAAGAATATCTCTTCAGTTATTTGACATGACTTGTGCATCCCTAATCTTATTCCAGGAGAAGATTGCTGACACTGTTGGGTGAGATGGAGTGACTATAAACAGCACTCTTACAAACATCCCTTTGTTTTGCTCATCTACTGAACTGCCATGGTATTGCTGTTGAATAAACCTAAGCAGAGCCCAAACTCTCTGTCTCTACCTTCCTGTATGGTCCTTATAAGTTTGCTAATTCATTTATTATTCCTCATGATTAAAATAATGATTGGTACTTAACAGCCAACTTGGAATCCTGGTGTTGAGTGGTGTCTCAGGCCACTAGACAAGGTCCTCTTTGTCTATTTGAAAAATCAGTGGAAAGATCCTCTATCCTCGCAAAACATCACTCTCTGTGTTCAGCTGTATAGGGTTACAGAAAGGGCAGCTCCACAACCTCTTTCTACCATATAATGTGCAGGGTAGGTTTCCTGAGAAGTATAAATTGTGCTGGTTATGTTTCAGGTACAAGTTGTTTGAGATTCATATGTAGACTTAGACATCTCTAAAATTATCTGAGTGTGGTCTGGGCTTTCTTTCTTTAGTCAGTGGAAAGAAATGGCATTTCTTGAACACAATTTGGCCTGTTTGTGACAGCTAAATCAGGATGAAATGATTCATCATATAGAAACATTTCTTTTCTCATAACAGAAAGTGAGTCTGGATGATTGGAAGAGATGCAGATATCTGCATTGTCTCTGCCTGAGTACAGACAAATAAAACCCATCCATTATACGTGTTCTGATGTAGAAATAATTTTTTTTTTAAAGGGACTAGAGTTTGGGGGTACCAGCTTGAAATATAATGGAGCTAGCACCAGTAAAATTCCAGGTTAAAAAGTAATTAAATAATTGTGGTGATGGGCAAACAACAGGTGTCTCCTGTGTCCAGAACTGCTGTTTTCTTTACCGGTGTCTGAAGTATAAGATGTCTGTGTGTGCTCCAGTTGTACTTTAAGTGAAATTATTGGCATTTTCTCTCTCCCATGATCATCTCCAGGTCATATTGTCTCCCCACGTCACTAGTGGAGCACCACACAGCACTGGTCTTTGACCAGGACAGATTAATTTACTGTCCAGCTCTCAGCTGTATCTCCATGTCCCTGCTGTTCCTATTTTAGAGAAGCCAGGTGGACAAAGTCCCATCAACTTCCCTCTTCCATGACCCTGCAAGCACAGGAACGTTTGCTATAATGCTGGGGGGGGTTTAGTGATTTTAGTGATTTGCCTAGTTTAAATCTTAAACTCCCTGAACAGAAGAGATTCTCTTTTTTTCCTATGAGAGGTGTAGCACATCACAGTGCATCTCATGACGACAGGCTTTTTGATACTGAGTCTCTGCAATGTCCTGTTGTTTCATGTCTGAGTCAGGCTGTGGTACTGTGGCTGTATCAACCCTATGGCTAGGTTGGGAGTCAGAAGGAAATATCCTTTCTGATATTTTCCTGTCTTGGAAAGCACATTAATCTGGCTTTGAATTATCTAACATAAAATGGGTAGAATACTAGTATAGAAACTTTCTTCTCTTGTTTTTTCCTTTGCAGATGACCATTCCAGGATATGTCTCAAAGGTGAAAGCAGCCATGACACGTCAGACTACATCAACGCCAGTCCCATTGTAAGTATGGTAACCTATGAGAAGTATTCCAAATAATTGATCCTTGCCATTCCTTGTTGTCAAAATAGGGTCACTCCAGGCACCTTACTGCTGCTCTCAGGTTGTGAGCACCTCACACCACCGGTGCTTCAGCCTGTCCTTTCAAATTGAAGAGAAATGTATAAGCATGCAATACCCTTGAAGTTTATTTGATAACCCTCATTCTACCTTGTAATACTGTTTTTCTGTACTTGATATTAGACATTATTAACTTACAGATTATAAAATTCAGTGCTTTACATTAGTGGAGCTTTTCCTTCTCCCAAGAGGTAAAAATAGCTTGTTCTTTTTTGCATTGTCCTGCTAGCTACAGTAGGAGGAATGCTTTCTGTAGGCATGGAGAGCTGAGCTCCACAGATTTCTGAGCTTCTTCTGCATGAGGAAGTGACATTTCCTCTTACCTTTCTGTGCATCACCTAGTGATGCACAGTCTGCTGGTTCTGTAGCTCTCCTGGTTCTTCCATGAGCTTGCTGTTTTGAAAGTAAGAACAGGATTTCCTAGCCCCTGTGCATTCATTCCAACTGCAAAGTAGGTCAGTCCAATTTTTGTGTCCAGATACTCCAGTGTTGCGCAGCTGCCATTTCCCATGACTGTGTGAGCTGAATGGGAAGCCTTTTCTTGTCCATGAAAGGTGATAAGGAAAAAAAGGTCTCTATCTGTAGACACTAAACAGGTTCAGTAATGCCAGTGGCATTGCCCTGTCATAGCATCCCAGTGGAAGTGTCAGGATATCCAAGTGAAGGGGGAAGAAGGCACTGTGTCCTTGACCTTGTGGGACTGCTGGTATTGCAGTCGCTTTTTCTCACAATTCTTATTCACATTACTTAGCCACCAAAAAGTTATTATAGGGAAACTGTGAGAAAGAACTTAGGATGGAGAATAAGATCTCACTGCAGTGGGCTGTATTTGCCATTACTGGCTCATTTTCCTGGGGAGTATCACTCCCCCACTTAAATGACTTTGTGTGGGCAAGGCAGCTGACAATTTGCAACAGCATGAAATTACAGGCTGCTTCCTTCCAATGTTGTTGACAATACTTCTTTTTTTATTTAAAAAGCCCCAACAGCTACATAAAAAGTGTTCCCTAGTCTTTATTTCAGCAGAGTTCAAAGCTTCATTTCCTTCAACACATAAAAGTGCTTTATTCGAAGAATTAAAAAACACACAGAAGCCAAAAAACACCTTTGGGATGTTTTTGTCTTTGGCTTAGGATAGAGGGGAAACCAAAGCACCTGCATGTTGAGGGATTGCCAGTTTCCATTTCAGAGGACAAGGGTAGATAGGCACAGATTAGACCTTTTAGACTGCTTTTACATATATCTCTGACTAGACCAAGCTCTGTCTGGCAGCAGGATCAGGGGATCACAGTAGGTCGTTTTCCAAGGAATATCCATCCTGCTTGTAAAATCATACACAGAGGTCCAGCTCCAGGGCTTCAGTGCTCTGTCTGTGTCTTCAGGACCCAGCTGGTTTGGTCAAGGCTTCATCTGATAGTAGAAACTGAGAGGTTTTGTGGGAAGGATGGGAGTGGGAGGTGATAACTGGAAGTGAGATATTGTATTCTTGTAGGAGCTTGGTTGTAACTCACATGGCAACAACGTGGTATCAAAGTGGAATTACAGCATCTGTAGACAGTGCTAAGGCGCGTTCAGTGTTGACAGCAGTACAACTGCTGGGTTTTTACTGAAAAGCTGGGTTTCTGCAAACTGCCCAAAAGTCTGCGTAGACACAGCTTAAGTAGCTTTAATATACAGTTTTGGCTGGAGAAGGGAGTAAATTCTGGCATGTGTGTATGTATCTGTTGCAATTGTAGTTTTGGATTATAGTGTAACTGTTTTTTTAATTACACTGAAGAGTAAAGTATTAGATTAACTAGTGTTGTAAGTGAAGAAACAGGACTGGAAAATGCGACTGACAAAACCGGGAAGAGATTTGCTTTATCAGGATTCCCAAAGCTCATGCAAGCACAGGGTCCCTGCTCCCACAGCTTTAGCTCTTGTGTTTTTACAAAGGGTTGTAATCTTGCCTTTCCATCCAGCTCTTAATAAGGGTCCTTCTGCAGGATTAGAACATATTTCTTTTTTTGTTTTACCCAGACTCAAGATTTCTGTTCAACACAACAAGTCACACTGATGAACCAAAAATTCTTATGGCTGTCTTTGTATCTCTTACAGAAATACTTCTATGCCCAGAAATAAGTGGGTTCACAAGTGTTTCATTAGATTGGGATTAGTGCCCAGCAACTTATATAGCCAAGAAAAACTGCCAAGAAAATAATTCAAGTTCCTCTTCTTCCTGGTAGGATAGAGACCCTACTGTGGGGAGAGAGTGCCATAGCTGACATTTGTGTAGACCTGCTATTCCAAGGAAAGAGATGCTCCAGTTAGTTACATGAGTTTGCTCCACTAAGCCAGTAGTCATTTTGCTGCTTTGAAAGCAATAGATCAAAATGTGTTTCCTGAAGGTGGTGCAGTGTGGGGCTGATAGGAGGAAATCCCTGCTTTGCAAGCCCATGGTCTGGAAGGATTCCCTGCAAACTGCTGAATTTCAAGCCAAGTTAAATATCTTCAGATAGTGTAAACATATTTGTTAATCTGGTGTAGTTTTTGTATAATGAGGTTGAATATAGAAGTGGCAGAGATACTCAGTCTCTGTTCTCCCCACTTCAAATGCCTACTGCAATACTGAATTGGACACTTGATTCTGCAATATTTACTGTGTTTATACAGCTAGTGAAGCCTAAGTTGGACATTTGTGCTATTTCTACTGCTGTTTACTTGAGATCTTTTCTGGTAGCAGGCACACATTTAGTGAGTGTCCATGAAAGCACACAGTGGATGCGGAGTATCAGTACAACTGCTTTCACTCACTCTTGCAAAAATCCTACCATTTCTTTCCTTCAGACTGTTTCAACTTAAATAACCTCAGTAATTATCCTGTCAATACAGGGATGCTCCTGGTGCATTTGCTCCTTGCAGAGCCTGGGTGAGGAGTGAGCACTGTCATGAAATGGGCATTGATAGCTTAGGATCAGTACAGGATGAACTGACGGGAAGAGGCTTTTTCCTCCCTGTGTGCAGGAAGAGTGTAAAATAAAGTAATTCTATTTGAGCTTCAAAGAGGGAGGCTGCCAGTCCCATACATGTTTCTGGGTATCTCCAGCTTCTGGGTCAGTGGTCCAGTCTCCAGCTGGGGCTCACTCAACCTTCACTGAAGTCTAAATGAGTGCAGCAGCACACCGTAAAAAAATCCTTGTGCTAGACAATGAGCTGGCCACCTGCCCACATGCTTCTTCCTTTTAAAAAATGCTGCCCCCCCTCAATACCTCAATACTTCACAGTAGGATGTGAAAACTGGGGTTATATTGGTGGCCTCAGTGCAACTGGGAATGGGTAAAGAGAATCAGGAAAGATTTAGTCCAAGTTCTTCCCATATGTCTTTTATGTCGCTGTAGCATGAGGCCAGGCAAAATGAGTCCTTAGGATAAATTTGCAGGGTAAAAGTGAGGTAGAAATCTGTTTTCCTCCTCTCTGAAATAACATAAAGTGCTATGATAATAACTCTGGTATCGGCAGCTGAATGAAAGGCTTGCAATTACAGCACAAGGAGACCCTGACTGTGCAGAATAAAACTGTGATAATTACTTCTGTCATATTTGTACTTAGTCCTCATTAAATTTCAGGAAAATCATCCAGTAGTAAATAATGTGCAATCTTTGCTTTTAAATCAGAGGTCATGAAAGTAAATGGGAAATTCTGTTTTTCCTCATAGGGTGTCTGAGAGAGAAAAAATCCCATCAACTACATTTAAAAACTCAGTTTGCTTATTATTGAAGACACCAGACTGAGGAATGTCATTAGCATGACAGTTTGTTCAAATACAGCATACAAATTTCATCAGCAAGAATAGACTCTGAAATTCATAATGGCATAGGCAACCAGATTTTCTTCTTTCATTCCATTAGGGGCTTTAAAGGAAGGATTTAAAAAATTGTTTTAAATTTTAATTCAAACATGAAGATGAGGACTAGTCTACCTTTTTAATTTTAATGGTGAGATGAATGATTACAAAGTTCATCTGCATTTGCTGGATATGCTTTCTTTTGCAAAAACAAATACACTTCTTCTTTAAACACTGTCTATACTTTGTGTAATAAATATATGCATGGAAGTAGATTTTCTTGGTGTTGTAAACAAATAAAGTATGGAAACCACACAGAAACTTGAATCCATACAAATTTTTAAGGTGTTAATCAGATTTGAACTTCCTTTCTGTTATATTTGGTCTACACTGGATTTCATTCTGATCTCATGATTCAGGAATATTTCAGATGGACTCAGAGGCTTTAAATGAAGGTAAATATGGTGTGACTGAGACCACATCTCACCCAGCATCCTTCTCTGTGAAAAGATCTGACAAGCTGAAGGGGAAGGTAAAGGGAAGGAATTCAGCAGTATTATCATTTATATTCAATTTCAAAATGATCATTGATACCTATTGACACTTTTACTTCAGTTTGCAGTTTTACAAGACTGCTTAACAAGAATCTGCATGTACCACTTTCAAGGATTTACTTCCACATCGTATTGATTTTTCTGTATTTCATCAGCATTATCAGTGAAATTGTGCAGCAGCACAATCACTATCAAAAACTCAACAAAATTCAGCATTCTTTAGGGAATTCTTGCAAAGTCTTAGAATAAGGCAGCTGGATAATAAAACTCTTGAGGGAAGAACCAGCTTTTATTCTGCAGTAAAGCAAAAGTGAAATCCTGATATTAATATCAGACCTGATATGGTCTGATATTAACAAGATGCAACCAGTTGTGATAATGTTTTTCATATATTTTCCTACTTTATGGCACTGTAAGTTAGCTTAAACTACAAAGCCCTGTAGGAAAACACAAGTTGTGCCACTAAACTTTTCTCTAGTTTTTATTTTCCAAGAAGAAATCTCAGTGCTCCTCATTTTTCTTTTCATTTGCTTTTGATACTGGTAGTGATGGAAATCAGCACAATCAATTGCATGGCCAGTTACAGTAATCCTTGACCCCTAATGTAAAATCATGGAAAAATAGATTGAAACATTATCACCAGACTTGCCTTTGCTGTACTGCAGCAGAAAATGAGAATTCCACCATAGTAGAACAGTTGTAATAATTGTAGGTTTTTCTTTCCAACAATGGCTGTTCGATCCCATTCTGATGTAAGTCTTGTGAACTTGGTGCTTTGATGGGGAAATAGAGGGAAAAATCATGTTCTTTTTGAACAATTACTATTAGGGTGATTTCTGAAGGTTGTTCTGATGTAAAATGTTAGCAAACAATCAATTTTTGTTTTAATACTTGATTGTATGGAGTCTGGAGTTCTCCATTCTTCTCTGGAGAATACATTTTCTATTTTATTTTCATGAAGTGAGAAATCTGAGGAATCCTTGAAAGAAGACAATGACTACTGACATTAAAAAAAAAGCCTTTTACTTGATCCTTGATTAGTTAGTTTAAAACCCATTACTGACTTTATTTCTTTATTCAAACTTCTGTTAACTTTGATAGATTAAGATGCCCTTGGTGTTCTTGCTGACCTTGAGAGAATAAAAAAGAACAAAGCAAAAACATTCAAGAATTGTCCCTTGCCATCACCTACTCAAATTGAATGTGACCAGACTAGGGATTTTTCACACTTTTCATGAAATACATGGTCTTTTAAGCAGCGCATGTAATACAAAATTGATGAAACCAGGAATTTCATTTAATTAGTTTAAACTTTGCTCTTATTTTTGTATAGTTAAAGATCATTTAATAGTGTGATAGCATTTTCTGCCATTTTCTATTTGCTTCAAGCAAGAAGAGTTTCTGCTCATAATTGTTTTTTGTGCAACACAATGTGCTTGGAATGTAATAATTGTAATTGTCTTTTGAATTATTGTTAAACTGCTGATGTACTTCACCACTCTGTGCTTATTGTAATGTTTGCCACGTTCCAACAGCACCTTTGTGACAGAGGCTGATTAATGCTGAAATGCCAAGATTGGCCTATTCCTGATTTATCAGCTGAATGTTGAGATGTATTTCCTCCATGACAGCACTATTTGCATCATCTTGTTTTCTGGCATGTCTACATTAAAAAAAAAAAATCGTATAGGAAGAATTCAAAGTAAATTATATTTTTTTCTAAAGTTTGGTGTATTTAATGTTGGTTACATTTCCAAGCCAAATTCTAGCTTGTAGAGAAGTGACATCATTTTTGAGTGGATGCAGCCCACAACAATTTCCACTGGGAGTAGCACATCCTCCTTGGTGTAGCTCAATTTTTCCTAGTTAAGATTTTTAGTTCCAGCATAGGAAATCATTTCACCACAAATTTAAATCTTGTAGATCTTTAGGATTCAAAACAAAACAACAGCAAATCATTTAAACTGTAATGGAGAATAAAAAAAACTCTGCTTTTAAGCTTGACTTTGCTCAATCACATTTGCTGTTGTTTTCAGCTGTGTTTGGTTCAGTGTCTCAATTCTTACAAAACAAAACAAAGCAAAGCAAAACAAAACAAAAAAGGTTGCCCCTTTTGAAATATTTCCTAAGGGCTTTTTTGTTAATACTGATTTCTGAAGAAAGCTGCTTTTCCTTGGTCTCAAAATACCCACGGTAATAAATGTCTTGCTATCAGAACTGCTTTTGTCAAAAGGCAAAGAAAGCAAGGTTGAAATTTCTTGTGAGCAATTGCTTGTTGGGAAGATTTATTTGCTTTATAAGAGAAGCACCCCAATGAAACTTGGAATAAAATGATGCTATTATAGACATCCTGGTCAAGTTTTTTTTTGGTTTTTTTTTTTGTAACTATGGGTGGGCAATCAGAAGTAAGCTTTTAGTCTAAATGGATTCAGTGACTTTTACCTGTGTTGTGTTGTCATGGAGAATTTGATATTAAGTCCAGCTTAATTATACATCAGAAAATTAGAAACATAAAAGTGTTATCTTCCTTTTTGCAACATTCATCATATTGTTTTTCTGTTAGAATAACTTACATCTGTTCTTTTATGGTTCTTCCCTCTTTTATGTTGCACATAATTATGAGGTGCCTTTTTTACGCTGACATGTACCATCACTGAAGATTTTGATAGGCTATGAATAAATTCAGGAGATGCCTGTTAATGCAAATGTGACTCACATTCATTCTTATTCAGATCTTTACTTATAGGATAGAAACTGTGTATGGAGACAAATTCTGCCTTCAGCTACATGGGTAAAAGTTAACTCTCACCGACTTCAGTGTCACTGAGTCACACGCACACATCTCAGAGCTGAAATGGGTCTATTTTCTTTATGTTCAAAGTTTTGTCCTGCCCAGTTCAGGGTTAGAATGAGTTTGTTTGTTTTTTAATCCTATCAGCAGATCTTCTTTTTCAGCAGAATGGATCCTAAGATTTAGAACCAGGAAAACCACCCATCAGTTTGAAAACATTCATTGTAACACACTAATCCTATTTACTCCTGATGGCTTTGTTTCTTAGATTCTTTATTTTTTCTGCTCAGTGAATTTTCTGCTCCTTGAATTAAACGTAATAATTAAGGTCCTTAAGCAGAACTTCCTCCATTGAGGCCAAATCCATGCATTTAGATAAATCAGCTAACCAGAAAAAGCCAGAAACTGAATTTGTTCCCCATTTTCGCTGGTTTTTAGTTACATGTGCCCTTGACTGGCATGGTGGAAATGGAGAACATATTTACATGTGTGGAGCATTCTTAACATTCAGTGTAGAAAAATGTTTCAAAAGGCTCCTAGGTTGCTATGAAACCATGAGTACTGATCTCAAATAAATGGCTTTGTCAGCCACGATAAATGATCTTTGCCTCCATATTGAGGACATGGGACATTGCTCATCACGTGTGTCTGGTGTCATCAGTCTTTTGGGGGAAAACTGTTCTCCTCTGAGCTTACAAATAGAAATAAAACACTTTGCTTGCTAATAAAGGGTGGAGGAACATGACAGTCCTTTAGGATGTCCCTTGTTCTGCCCTTGCATACTTTCTGTCTCTAAAACTACAAGGGATTTCCTTTAAATAAATCCAGTCTCTGTTCTTCTTCCTTATTGCAGATGGACCATGACCCCCGAAACCCTGCATATATTGCCACCCAGGGACCTCTCCCTGCTACTGTTGCTGACTTCTGGCAGGTAAGTTAAACATCTTTTTGAAAACTGAATTTATGCCACAAGTTTTCCTATGCTTCTTGAAATGTAATTTGTGTAAAAGTATGTTGTGCTTGAGTCACTGTAGGTGGAATAACCTTAATTCAAATGCCTTTTAAAATGTAGTACATGGATATTCAAACCATTTATGTGTAATACAAGCCCTGCTAAGGAATAGTTTATCTGAAAATTATACTGAGAACCTCTGGGCAAAGTATTCATATTTTAGTGCCTGGTCTCTAACTAAATTACTGCCAAGAATTCAGTGATTTTCAGAGGGCCTGAAGAGTGTAGCCAGAATTCATTGTCATTCTCCAGATCAGAAAGGACCCAAGACCCAGTGCCATGAATTTTCCATTGAAATCTATTCCACACATGTCCCAGTTCTGCAATATGCTTAAATCCTTATGCATTTACCCTGCCACAGGCAGTTAGGACCCAGCTGCATAAATTTAAGTAGAGGCAGAATTCTTTGCAGGACTGGGGATAAGTGGAGTAGTTATTGATGCACAATTAGGATCTTACTTTGCATGCAGGTGTTTTAGTGCTGGTGCAGCTCTCAGGTTTGGACCAGCGCACATTGCCAGGGTAGATGTGTGTGATGGTGTGATGGATACGAGTGTTAGATATTCCTTTGGAAGTACAGAACTGTGTCTGAAAGTTTGCAGAAGCTGCCTGGGGAGGAGGCCAACTGGGGCTTATTATCAGCATGAACATATGCTTTTATTTTTTGTTTTTCATTATGAATTTAGAAGTTTTTGTTCTGAAGAGACTGTCTGTGTGACAGTTTCAGAAGTGTCATTGTATTTTAGTAGCTTGCATCTGTTGAAATCATCTCTTCATCTGTATCACTTGACCTATCCTTAGAAAGTAATAACTGATCCCTATTGAAGACTCTTTTCATGTCATGATTTTCCTGATGAGTTATCAGGACATTTTCAAAAAAGTTCTTGAATTTTGGGTGCATGGATATTGAAGTATTTAGTCCAAGATATTTTGGGACTGTTTTCTAGAAGGGCAGAGCAAATGCTTTCTGCTTAAAGTCACGTGAGCTTTTGGTCTGGCTTAAATTTTCAAGTAGCTTGTGATTTTTGTCTTCACTGTTTGGTAATTATCTAGAATTGAGAAGACTGATCTTTTTTGCTTGGCACATGGGTTCATTCTAAAGGCATGATATTTGAAAATGTATTTGTTAAGTTATACATGCAAAATCAAATAGTATGTTAGCTGTTCTTTAATGGCATTTTATTATTTCTATGGCCCAGGTTTTTAATTGTTAATTTTTCATATTTGTACATCTACATTGTGTGTACTTTGACCTGTAAATGACCATTTACATGTTGAAGAATATATGTTCTCATTTTTAAATATGGCATTTAAGAAGCCCACTTTGAGGAAGCATTGAAGAAATCAGAATTAATCATACAAGCATAGTGTGAAGGATATCTTTTGTTCTTCTCCCACATCAGTTTGAAAAGTTTGGCACCCTGTTTGCATGGTCGCAGAGACTACAATTTTGTTTCTTTGTTCTGTGGCGCAATCTTCTTCATTCTACTTCGTACTTAAAAGATCTCTACTTTCTTTCCTCATGCTATGTTGTGTGGAAGTGTCTTCACTTTCTTTCTGTTCTTTTTGCTATTTCTCTTCCAGTAATCCATCAGTGAAAGTTCCCTCCAGCTCCCCAGCAGATTTGCTGTAAACATCTCCTCAGAAGCTGTTTGGGAGCCGTGGTTCAGCTTTGGTTTGAGTGTGGCTGTGTGCATTTCTGATGTGATGCTCTTTTACTATTTCTTCTGTTAGGTTCCATAGAAAAGGTGGTTTTTGACATTTATTTTGATGATATCTGTCACTTCAACATAACAATCTACCTATGCCAGTGTCCTGGTTTGGTCCATGACCCACTTTTCTTAAACTTCCTGCAGATCACAACTCAGTGTGCCAGTTCTTGTCCCAAACCTTTTACACAGCCCAGGGTATCAACCACATGTAATAAACAGGCCAAGAGAGATGAGGTCCTTGCAGAACACTGCATCCACCACCACAGAAATGGAGAAGATCCAGTGTGCAAGTCAAAAGCCATGGCTTGAACATGTTGCAGTTTATGCCCAGTTGCAGGAGAAAAGTTAATTTCTATTTTCATCAAATTCTGCCTATTCTAACGTAAAGCATAGGAAATCTGAACTTGCTATGAAAAATAATCTTAACTCCTCTCAGGGCACAATCAGTTGATATTTACTTGGATACAGGTTTCTGTAGTTTATGGTGTCTCCATGATGCTGCCACCAGGGATTGTTTAATGATTCAATTATTCATTCCTGATACATCTTCTCAGTGGTTCTCCTCCCTCTCCCTCCTCCACTTAATGCCAGCTGTTGCAGAGTTCCATTGCTGTTTTCCCCTTTTTGTGCTCAGTGAAGCAGTTTTCTGACTGATAGTGAGAAGAGCGACTGACTCCAGAGAGATCTGGGACTCTTCTGCTGTTCCTTGTCTAAATGCACAATGTCATGCTTTAGCAAGTCCAACAGAAACTCTTGGAGCTTGACATCACCTTCCATGGCAATATTTACTGGATGTATTGCTTCCTATTTTTGCAGAGATTTGGCTGCTGAGATTCCCATCAGTCAGGGTCCACAGTGGGCATCAGCCACTTCGTTGTGTCTTGGCTGAAAGGTTGCCCCAGCAACCTTTTGTAAGAACCTGTTGTAATTGTTTCTACTCCTGAAGGATTTTCAAGCTGACTTCTAGAAAACTCTTGTCTACAGAGCATTTGTTTTACTTGAAAGTGTAAGACAACTTTCTTGGCACTCACAACACAGCTGATATCCACAATGAAATCCAAACTGCTTCTGATCTGTGCTGTCTGCATTTCATGCTCTTATTCCAGATCTAGTTGTTAAACTGGCTTTCTCTTAAGCTTTCACTATATTCTCCCACCAGTCAGTGACTACCTCTACAGTAGCAAGTAGTCTGGCCTGCTATGAATGGATTTGTGGAATGTCACAATACTTTGTAGGTTTTACCAAACAGATAATTTAGTTGTGGGCAATCTTTTTCTAGTTTTACTGCCAGGCCCCTCTAAAACCTGTTATGTTGATCCAGTGTCCAGTATTTTAGTGCAAGTGCTGTTAGACACTTAGCAAACAAATTCCCATTTACTGTATTTGAGTTGCCCAGATCCAAGCAAAGATCATAGTTAGCTCAGTGCCTTTGCTTTCTCAAACTAGGCAGAGCTTTTTCATACATTGATGGTGCTCAGTCCAGGCTCATGCAGTTTAGCGTTCTTAATACAGGTGAGGTCTTAAGCTGCACCAAGAGAAAAATACTGGTTGGATATTAGGAAAAGATTTTTTCACAGAAAGGATGATAAAGTTCTGGAATGGCCTGCCTGGGGAGGTGGTGGAGTCACCATCCCTGGATGTGTTTAAGAAAAGACTGGATGTGGCACTCAGTGCCGTGGTTTAGTTGAGGGATTAGGGCTGGGTTGGACTTGATGATCTTAAAGGTCTCTTCCAATCCTGTGATTCTGTGTGATCCAAGCCTAGTACCACTATGGGATTGAGAAGCACCAGTTCCATTGATCTCACTAGTGACCACTTCTTGGATGTCTTTTTGGTAGGGTGGAGAAGAGCAGGTGTCATTCTTCAGTACCATTTCACTTGAGCCACTAGAGTTGATCATCAGTCTCAGAATTTTCTGTAAAACTTTCTATTCATTTGGGTTTCCAAGTTGACCTGAGAGATCAGCTTGACAGAAGTTTTTCTTTCAGAGGCACAGTGTTTGAGCTGGAGATGGTCCAAATGCCTGGATATTGGTTATTTTCAAATGGTGTTTGAATTTGTGTATGTTGCAAGAAAAATAATGATAAAAAGGCAATAGTCTTACACTGGCTTTTCTAATGGCAAAAAACCTCCATGGTTATCTGTGTCCCTCTGGTTTACTTTGCCAGCTCCTTAGATTCTTGGCATAGCTTCCCTAAGTCATCAAGTGCCAAGTTAGTTCCAGCTTCCCTGGCTTACCTATTTCTTTGAAAACTTCCTAGCCTGCAGGAGTTGTGTTGTCAGTCATCTTATTGATCTGTTTTGCCACAGGGCTTCTTAATCTGTCTGGATGCTCTGTGTTTGCGGCTCAAGAAGAGATTTCATCTCTACCCGCTTGTCATCTCTTGGACCACTCTGGAAATTTTCCAGCCACTACTTTAATTAATTTTGAAAAGCCTCCAGCTGATTTAAGTCTTCTTTTAATTTTATCTGGTCTTGTTTTCATCTTTTACCAATTACTATTTCTGAGAAATACATCCTTCATTGATTCTGTTCTTGTTCAGTGGGAATTCCACCTCACGATTCCGTTTCTCGAAAACTGGATGACTGTCCTCACATGGTATTAATCCATTTTTACCTGAGTGGTTAAACAATTTGTCAGGTCTGTGGATTGTTTTCTTCTCAGCTGGAAAGAAAATTCATCCTCAGGACAGGGTTTTGCTTTGATAGAGTTCCATTTTATTTACAAAGAAAGAACAGAGTTTTATTTCCTTGAACAAAGACAGAATCAAATAACAGTCAATAACTTCTATTTTCCAAACTTCATTCACCCAGTGTTTTACCCCCAACCTCTCTTTCAGCTTTTCTTCTACCAGGATCACAATGCTAGTTTGTTGAGCTGTGCTGGTGGTTTCTTTATTCCTTTTGCACATTCATGCTGCTTATCAGGATTAATCATCTTGCCTTGATTAATGCTCTCTCTCTGCATTAAGCATATCAGTTTCTAGAGAAACTCACGGGTCCATATGCTTCATGTTTCTCTTGTTTTTGATGATAACTTCTGTAATTTCAGTTATCAGGCTTCATAAAAGAGTTTGCTTGTTTCTTACATTTATCTTGAATGAAAGGTGATGATTTTGTCCAGCAACTTCAGTGAGATTTCACTCAGCTCTTTCACATAGCGCTATTAAAATTCAACATCTCTTTGAACATAATTCAAAAGAAAGA